TGAAAACGATATAAATTTTCGCTTTTAAATTCAATTTTGTGTTGAATGTTAACATTCTCACAAAATCTTCATTTTGTTTTCACAATACAGCATCTGTGTACTAATACAGTCTTAATTAATGTATATTTCTAGACTGTGAATAAATCTGTTCGCTTTATCGAACTACGGCTTGAAAATATTTTATATAATTACGATCTATAATTCGTGATTTTCAATAATTCGACGTATTACATCGAATTGATGAGATTATAAATTGATCCGATATTGCGCCTGCATGACGTATGAGCAACCACTTCACTTCGTATTCCATTATCTCATTATCTTGATCAATAAATGTGGCCGGTGTTGATATCTTGCTTATCACAGTTTCATGAAATGTTGCAAAAATTGCGTAAGTTTAATAGAGCATTGCACGAGGAATCCATTCTTTCAAATTATGAGTGCCAGTGTAATGTCTATGTGATATTCAGAAGGGATTATATGAAAGCAAAGATTTTATTGTAATGTTCATTTGGAGTCCGAATTCGACTAGTTATACGCCTCGAATACAAGTCATATCCGACATACAAGAGCTAGAAACTAAAATAAATAAAGAACACTATCTTCGAGATATGATGTGGTGTAGTCTGTTAGAATTTTATCGACGTTTTGGAAAAAACATCTTCAGGAGCTAAGAGTAAGCCAAACCAAGTAGAGAAGCAAGTAACAAGGAGCAAATACTCGTTACATTAATATAGTATTGATCTGAAATTAGCAACAAGTCTGTACGAGTACAAGAAGTCAGAGTTTAATAATCCGTTGTGTCATTGTATATGTTATCTGAATTGTAATATCTTTCTTCACTTAGTAATTATAAGAAACATATTGTGGAGCTTTCATGAATGGAAATATTATTGCATCTGGTCACAAAATAAAATTATTATAGATTTATGCTTGGAATTTGTCCGGATTTTCTGAATAAATTGAAAATTCCTACAGCCGGTACGATCTAGAAAAATAGTTCTCAAAATGCAAGTGGAGAATAGCCTATAAATTGTAGACATTATTAAATCAATGGAACAAACAACTTGTTTTTAAGACAATGACAATACAGCGCGGCCCGAACAACAGGAAGACACTAAAGAGTCCTGTTCTTCAACCAACGGAACCAGGACGCGGTAGACACTCAACTTCCTTTCAAGATAAGAACTATAAAGGACACGAACCCAATTGGTTCTAAATTTTAACGAAGTTATTTTAAACCAAACTTGTAAACAAACTAATTATAATAATTTAAAAATATTTTAATATATTCATGCCCGTCGCTTCAGTTGTTAAATTATAAGATTTTATATTCATGACATGTTAATGTTCTTGCATATATGTATTGATAATGACCAATAACATTGTAATTATATTTTCCGTATGTATTGATATGTCCTTCTGAAGATGGTCTCTCAGACCAAAACATGTCAAAGATGAAAGATTAAAAAGGAAATTAAAAAACATTTATCAGTGACACTGGACGGTGTTGATAACCTTTTTATTACAGTGACTTTTCATGAGGTCCCTTAAGTTTCGTTTAGTGATGGATATATTGTAACATTCTGAAGATTATACAGTGAGCTATCAGTTTGTCTTCGATTAATGGAGGCAGTGCAGGCTTTTTCTAATTAACACTATCGACGAGCTTTTATTCTCTACTCCTCGTCACTTCATTAGTCGAAAGTCACTTGGACGTTGGTTTCGATCTTTCATACATGGGCCTTCAGGAAGTTTCACTAAAACCGAGTGTTTCACTCTAACATAATGTGTTCCGTGCTATCGTCAAGGCACGTGATACAATATAGCCTATTGGACATGTTTGGTTTAGTGCACCGAAAATATACAAATATAACCTCACTTACTCGCCGGTCACAGTGGCCACGCGGTCTAAAGCATGAACTGCGTTCGCTCGCTCTAATGCTGAGATCGTGGGTTCGAATCCCACCCGAGGTATGGGTGTTTGATTTCGTTTATTCTGTGTTTGTGTTGTTCTGTGTGCAGGTAGAGACCATGCGATGGGCTGATCCCCCGTCCAAGGAGTCGTAGCAGCTGTGTACAGGATCTAGAAACTTAAGAAGCGGCCAAGGTCTAACAAAGGACTGTAGAGCTACGACAATAATAATAATAATAATAATAATAATAATATCAACATAATTTTCTCAAGTTGTATAATGTGGGAAACTAGCTTATCACAAAAGGAATTACATTTTTTCTACCTTTGATCAGTCTCCATTCAGAATTAATTCTGAAATTATTAATCTTGTAGACAGGTGATAAGACTCCTTGGACGGGGGATCAGCCCAACGAAAGGCCGCTACCTGCACAGGACAACACAAACACAGAACAAATGCCGGGAGAAATTCAGGCCTCCCACGATCATAGTTCTTGCGCGGGCGAACATATTTCGTACCTTAGACTTCACGGCCACTGTGATCGGCATGAATCATAACTCTGATCTCAAAAATGGGATAGAAAGTGACTGATTTTGCCGTAAATGCTTTCATAAACATGGATCCCATAGATTTGACACGGTTCCCATAGATTTCGAATGTGATTAACAAAATATTACACAATTTGCTCACCGAAATATACAAGGCGTTCAATCAAGGAGGAAACTTCGCCACACCGCTGATCGGGCCCAACATTCCTCACAGATTGCTAGTGTAACTGTAACGGCGCGCGTTTATCAGCGCTAGTGACTCATTCTGCTATCAGCAGTTACAGCAGCAATCTGTGAGGAATGTTGGGTCGGATCCGCGGTGTTGCGAAGNTGAATTTGTGAACCATGGAGACACTTTCTATGTACTTCTCAAATGATGGCTGTATATAGGTTGTTTTCCTTAAATTAGCAATGGTGCGGGTACGATATGCGTTACTGTACCTTATTATGTATTGTAAGTTTATAAACATAAGTAGGATTTGAAGTTTTCACAGAGGATGTTATGCAGGAAACCAGCGTGTATGCAGGTGGTAAGCAGAGCACTTCCTTGCCACCTGCCTTCATGCTGATTTCGTGCTCGGCTTTTTCTTTGACCCTGAAGGTGGAAGTAATATGTTCCTCCGAAACGTCGGTTGACTTCCAACGGACTACACAGCGTTATATGTCAGAAGCTAGTGCTCTAGTAAATATATGTTCGAATATCATGAAATTCTATAAATGTCTGCGTGTTATATATCAACATAAATGTTCAATTAGATTTTAATTTATGCTAATCTCTACTCCTATTGCATGGTTGTATAAAAATAATGTTTTACATAAATACTAAATTAAACACACTAATTGTTGCTCATCATGAGGAGCTTCATAGCTTGTACGCCTATTAGCTGTTCACTAAATATTTTTTTACGATCAAATGAAGTATAGTAGGAGAGCTGGAACTTGTAGCGGGCATTGAATATTTCAGGAATGTATTTAGAATTTTGATGTGGACACTTGAAGGAAAGGGGCCACACTGAACACTTGGGCAGAGATGAGAGAATAATGTAACAAGATAAGACATTTACATACAACGCAGTACTTGGACGCGTTCAGATGTTTCTTCTTAATGTTTTGTCCACTTTATTTCCATTATTCCAATTTAATTTCTGTGTCTTATGCACAGAAAATGCTGCTTTATTTTATTTATATTATCTTTTGAATTTAAACAATGGTAAAAGCAATAAGTGAGAATGTCCTCGACTCTGTTATTGTTCTTTCATTATTTTGAAAAAATATATATACACGTATATACAAAAATGGCTTAGGCATTGCCCATCTGGGATTAGTTATTGTTTAAATTGAAAGACTGTGTCGCCATCTTTTGTTTAGATAGTGAACCACCGTGAAATTAATGAATGGGACGGCCATGGGATCACTCTCACGGCAGCCCAGCGTGCTATCATCAGTGAAGTGGAAAACAAAACAAGGTGCTTTTTAAAAAAACTGCTCTTCAGTCCTTGTGTAAGGTGTCCGATTTTAACCAAAACTAAGTTGTACTTTGACGGCCTTTAGTAAAATTCTCCAATATAAATCGTCACGAAGATCCAGCCAATGGGAGCCGAGTAGTTTCATGCGGGCACACCGACAGACAGAGAGGCAGATTTGACGAAAATAATAGGCGTTTTCTAAACTTTGTTAAAGCTCTTAAAGTTTTATATGAAATAAATTGAGTGTGAGGATGTGGGTGAAATTTAAATGGCGCAGGGTAAATAACGATTGTTAGCTCTTGTAAACACGGTATTGAAATTTCTGACTCTGTGAAAAGATGCAAATTTGTTTGTAATTGCTGAGTGGGTATTAGTGCCTCAAAGAGGACCCTCCTTGTAGAATTTAGTTAATCACTGAACAACAAAACTTGCCCATGACAGGAAAGAGAGGATACTTACCAAGTGCAATTCGCATTGCAGCGTCATTTAAAGCATCAGGAGGTAATTAGACCTTAAAACTTGTAGGTTAATTTCAAACACTAGAAGACAAAGAGGCTTTATATCTTGTAGCTTAATTTAACATGCCAGAAGACAAGAAAACTTGAAGTTTGATTTAACACACCAGAAGACAAGCGTGACTTAAAACCTGCAGCTTGATTTAACATACCAGAAGGTAAGACAGCCTTATAACTTGCAACTTAATTTATCGCACCAGAAGGCCAAAAGATCTTATAGCTTGCAACTTAATTCAGCACACCAGAAGGCAAGGCAAGTTGCAGCTTGAATGAACACACCAGAAGAAAAGCTTGCCTTAAAGCCTGCTGCTTAATTTATTACATGAGGAGACAAAAAGATCTTATTACTTGCAACTTAATTCAACACACCAGAAGGCCAAATGATCTTATAACTTGCAACTTAATTCAACACACCAGAAGGCAAGACAACTTGCAGCTTGAATGAACACACCAGAAGAAAAGCTTGCCTTAAAACTTGCAACTTAATTTAACACACCAGAAGGCCAAAAGACCTTAATTTAACACACCAGAAGGCAAGTAGCCTTTGTAACTCACCTTGTTATTCGCACGCCAGTATCAGCACTATCGACTGTTTCACTTGACGAAACCAACGAGTCTGAAGAGCGTAGTATCTGACGCTTCTTCGCGCCTCGGGGTCATTCATTGGCCAGCTTCTTGCGTACCTGCAACGTCACTACGCTAACGGCAGTTTCATTCCAGACTGAAATCTATTACGTCCTTGATCACTCGTTCGTGTAACACTATGAACACAAGCGAAGACGCAAAGAATAAATACTTGTTTGAGTGATAAATGTGATCTGTATAATCAATACCGGTAACGGATCGGCAGACCACAACACGCGGAAAAGTTACGGTCCGCGATAAATCAGACTTTATCGCGGCGATGAGACAAGGTTCATAAGATTTTGCTGTCTGATGCACAGCATAAGACTAAGCATTTTAAGCGTAGAAAGGAAACTAGATCTTTCATAAAATTGAAAATTTGGGGGGGCTCTAGTAGCCTACGCATGGGACTATGCGTTGTTGTAATTTACTGTACGTACATAAACTGGGCGTGTGAAAATTAGTTTTGGGCCCACTTCAGATTCGATTTTACGAGTCAGACCACTAAGCAAGGTTTAGGATATCATGCCAAAAGAAATAATTATCAATAATCCTATTTGTTTATCCTCCAGTTAGTGCCGAGGTCAAGAAAATGTGGATCTATAAATCCACTCCCCCATACGCCTTCATGGCCTAGTGCTTAATTAGTTAAGCACAGGGACAAATACCTTACTTACGTGTTTCCCATTTATCTATAAATACATCCGAGCGTTACGAATGATTGACATATACGAGTATTTAACACTTTTTGAAGTGTAGATTTCTTTTCGATTCTCTTCAATTTTCGATCATTTTCTGATGATCCTATTCGGCCCATGAATAAAAACATGTGCCCCAATCTTGCAGTAAACAAAAGTGAAGTACTGTGGAGATGTCATCGAATCAAATGTTCATGTTAAAAATATCTGCAACATTTGACACAACGCACACGTAAAATTCCTTTCTTTTTCAGTAACTATAATCTCTTTGTTGAAGGACCCACTTGGTCTGGAAAAAGTACATAGCATAAGAGGCAGCAACAGCAATTACTACTACTACTACTACTACTACTGGGCGCCCGGATAGCTCAGTCGGAATAGCAACTGTTGGACGACCGAGGTGACGGAGTTCAAGTGCCGTTGAGGTATAGAATTTCTTCTCCACGTCGTCCAGACCGGCGCTGGGGCCTACCCAATCTCCTATCCAATGGGTACTGGGGCCCCTTTCTCCGGGGGTAAAGCGGCTAGGCTATGAAGCTGACCACTCACCTCCAACGAGTGCCGAGATAAAAAGAAAATATGGGTCTATATATCCATTCCCCAAAATTATTCATGGTGTAGTACTTAAAATTGGTAAAGCGCAGGGACAATTTTGCCTTTTTTACCTTACTACAACTACTGCTACTACTACTACTACTACTACTACTACTAATACTAATACTAACAATAACAATGTGGCACGCCATAGCTCAAGCGGTTAGTCGTTGGCTTCCCACCGCTGCGGCCCAGGTTAGATCCCGGGTCTGGTAAAGTGGGATTTGTGGTGGACAAAGTGGCGCTGGGGCAGGTTTTCTCCGAGTACTTCGGTTTCCCCTGCCAATCTTCATTCCACCAATTCCTCCACAATCACCCTCACCTATCATCTGGTGCTGGTACAATAGGCCAGAAGTGGCCGCAGTACAAGGGACTTAGTCCCACCCCACTAGCAATAAAAATAATAATAATACTATAACAATATTAGTCCTCGAATTCACGGGAAATTCAGAATAATTTTATCTTAGCTGTTTCCGTGCATTTCTCAGCTCATGTAGAGTACAGCATTCCGATCCGTACATACTGGAGTATTGCAGTTATACTATAAGTATTCACATCTTCACATGTGCATATGATGTTCCTTTTTCTGCACCTCTACCATTAGTACATTGGAAAATGCGTATATTCACATTAATGTTCTTAGAAATATTTCGATATACAAGTACATTGTATCACAGATATTTAATAGTTGTACGATAAATTTTTAAACTGTGTTTCAGTAGCTTATATATAATTATATCTCAGATGAAAACTTACTGAATGTAATGTCGTTAAATTTCTTAGAATTAATATTTACTATGAATATTACACTCAACCATTTTTGTCTTCCAATGACGTCAATTTGTTGACGTACTTTATACGCTAAACTGTGAAACGCAGAAAATCGCGTGTTGCTTCTAAGTTGTCAGTTTGATCTATCCAGGCAGTCTTGCCCTGGGGGCTCTCTTGCTAGACGTACGAAGTCTCCGTTGTGATATAAGAACATGCTAGGTCTCGTCACGGAGCTGCTTTTAATATCGGGTGTCCGGATGAAAGGTATCCAATATAAAAAAAAATTATGTCTCGGAAAGTAATTGTCATACACGTATCAGGTTTATGTCATCATAAAGTAAACCCCTGTATGTTTTTTTTTTCATGCCCGGCTTACACGCATGCGCCGCCACATTTCTGTCCCCATGTTGGGAATCACTTGGAGAGAGTGATCCCTGGGAGATAGATCGGCAGAAATGAATCAGTCGCTTGGACTCCTAGGTCGCCAGATTTAACCTCACTGAATTTTTTCTTATGGAATGAGCAGAGGAATATCCTACACGAAATAAGAAAACGGAAGGCTAATTGGATTGGTCATGTTTTACGCAGAAACTGCCTTCTAAAAGAAGTTATTGAAGGAAAGATAAAGGGGCGGATAGAAGTGACAAGAAGACGAGGAAGAAGAAGTAAGAAGATGCTGGATGACCTTGGGGACAGAAGAGGATACTGTCATTTGAAGGAGAAAGCTCTAGATCGCATTAAGTGGAGGAATTGTTTTGGAAGAGACTGTGGACCTGTCGTCTGACAAATTACTGATGATGATGATGATGATGATGATGATGATGATGATGATGTATGTGAAGGACATTGTCTACCAAGTTAAGATCAACGACTTGCAACACCTGGAAGCCCGCATAAGGGACACTGTGGCTATGGTAACACCAAACATAATGGATCGTCTGGATATTTGTCGTGCCACCAAGGAATCCAACATTGAAATTTACTGAGAAAGTTATATACTCAAAAAAAACTTTGATAGTTTCCCTTTTTAGTGGTGTAACCCATAAATGTGTATAATTAACGCTTTCTGAGATGTAATTATTTTATTTTAGATACCTTTTATCCGGACATTCTGTATTACAACACTGCGATGAGCATTTATATCGCGACTCACTACTCTCTCACCCACTTACATGCCGTGGCGTGGCTACAGCTGTAACTCAGAAGTGAGGTTTTGGGGTCGTGGTAGGGGAAATGTTGACAGCCATGCGGTTACAGCAACTAATAATAAAATTTTGACATTGTTTGCCTTCATTAATATTCATTATTCATACTGGAGATCGCTACCGTTACTCAGTTTGTCTATTCAATAAGTCTGAGTAGGATGTCGTTTGCTGCATTTCGTAACGTAGTTCTACCGCTAGAAGCTTTTGACACCGAGCACCTAATGTGCCATCCTGTGTTGGCTACCCACGACTGCTTTCTGAATATATTTGTAGCCTCCCTCCATATCTGCAGAAAGGAGCCTGCAGCTCGAGTAAAATGGAAAACGAAATGGACGACACGTATAGGATGCATGACGGAAACAAGAAATACATAGAATTTTCTTAGGGAAACTTCGAAAATTGTGCACACGTAGGAAATATTGCGTACATGAATAAAGGGTGAAGTCCCTCTGATTAATTAGCTGAGCACTACGCCATGAAGACATATCAGGGAATGGAAGTATAACTCCACCTTTCTTGACCTCGGCACTAGATGAATTTGAGTGATCAGCTTCACGCTCTTTACTAGTGGGAAAAGCCCCCGGTACCCATTGGATAGAAGACTGGGTTGGCCCCAGAATCGGTCCGGACGCTGTGAAGAAGAGAAAAATCGTTATTAAACTCCATTTGTCTAGTTGTTTCTTTCACTGCCGTTGCCTAGCAATTGGTCTACATGCCACAATATATGCTGGAAACTTGCTAAGACCATCAGAAATACAAAGAATGAATCTACAATCTGAATGGCAAAGTAAAGAAAACTTTAAGTTATATTTCACTAGAAATCAGAATTTGTGACGACTGGAGCCACAAGTCAAGGGAGATCTCCAAATTTTAACACTCACTCTGGATCTCGCCTTGAGGAAACATGGTGAGCGAAGATTCATGCAGTGATGGTCGGCACATAGTGTGACACCTGAAGGACATCTCGTATTGGTATGCAGTACATTGCCTCTCTGCGAGTCTTTTGAAAGTTCTTCATTCAAAAGTACAGCATGTGACCTTGTTTCATATGACGAGAGTAAATATTTATGTGCATTCCTAAAGTCAACAATCAGGACCCATATAAAGCTTTCTTGTTTAAACAAATAAGCCTATGCGAATTATTTACACTCCGCTTTTGGCACAACTGTGATTTGCGATATGAATTATATGTAGCAGTGAGTTGGTAAACGTGACTCATAGCTTGCTATTGTTACGAAATATGGGTATCTTAAAGAGGAATGAAAATGTATAGGCCAAAATCACTTTGGAGGTCAGAATATTTCCTTGCGTGTGTGTGTGTGTCGGGCCTAAGAGAAGCCAGACGGAGCCCGATACTTCAAAAATAAGATTTTCTGCCATCTGAACAATTCATACGAATATAGATGAAAGGCCAAGAACAGCAAATTTACAATTCAACTAAACAGAATTCCCACACCTTTGCTTACGTTTTTATTTTGAGTAAAACAAGAATATATTTGGACCCTCCAAGCCAGGGGCCTGGGTCAAAGGGCCTTACTAGCCCTCCTCTATATGGGCCTTTATGTATATAACAGTGAGATGGACGCTCTGAAATTAAGCAATTTCGGGTAAAGTAGCCATGAACTGTCGAACATTAACACGTTTCATAAACGTAAGTTATGTACGAGTATTAGGTTACGAACGAGCGAAAATTCTCTTATTATATCGTATGTATTCGGTAAATACCGATAATATTTTGATGTTCAGAAGTTAACTGTTATATACTATATAAAAACGATGGCTTTCGACTGACTGTATGCGTGTTATTCGTGGGAGATACTATTTAACACCCTTGATATATCATTCGAAAACATGTAGACTTTGAAAGGAGG